ATTGCGTTTTCAATTCTGTAATTGTATTTGTTCTTTGTATACATAAATACATAAATGACTTCAAAATAAATTGCATGACTAATTAATTTTATGCATTTGAATTGAATAGGGTAAGTCAGACTTGAAATATCTCTGTAGAATAGAAAATCTGTTGGAAACTGTAGAGGGTTCCACAAGAACAGACTAGACTAACTGTAGCTTAAATTTTAAGTGTTTATTTCAAAAGAACAGTAAAAGTTTACCCCAAGTAAATGAAATTGGAAAGTTTAAATCTCCATCTTAAAAAATGGAAACCGATAGTTACAGTCTTTGCTCAGACAATTAAGTACTAACAGTCTGAGCACTCCAGTTAGTTCTTTGGCTGTTGATTAGGATTCCGTGGTGGTGATTAGTGAGTGTGAGGATGCAATCACATCTGTAGGGTTTAATCAGTCCAGTGCTGGAGAAGTTAGTCCAAAGATGGAGAGAGAAACTAGAACTTCTGTATGTAATCTTAGTAGAGTTTTTCCCCATACTGCAAAAAGTTGAAGGGTAAAAACTTGGGAAGCCTACCTTTCTACCACTGCCCCAAATTTGCCAGGTTTGTAAATGATAGTATTGATTTTCTAGTTCTGTGATGCAGGAGTATAGTGTTGTTGATGCCTGTGAAGGGGAGAGAAGATGCATGATGGTACCTGCATCTGCACCTTCTCTGAACTTCAGTGTTTCATTCTTAGAATTGTGAGCAGTACTTGTTTTTCCATACTGTGCAACCACGTATCTGGTTTTTATTTTTGTAAATCTAGTATATTAGGTGGTTAGCTTGAACATACACAATATTTTGTTATGCTTTATTTTCTTCTATTATACATTCTGATTATGCACTGTCTTTTTATTAACACTTAAAGCATTTATCTTGAAAAAAATATTTACAAATGTGAACATTTTGCCTCTGTGTTCCTGTGAAGCAGGAGATAAGGGAACCTATGTAGAAACAAAAGAACCACAGTGGGTATGCTTAGCAGAGGAAACCCCAAAAGAAAAAAAACTTTTGGATTTCTGCTTAGCACATAGCTTCTCTGTGACCTTTCTGACTCTGGCTTTGAGTAAAGATGACCATATGCTGAATCCCCCCTTAGAACTGTCTCCACTGGTCCATTCTTAACTTGGAGGAGAATGCCACTGATATTGCCTGGCAGTGCATGCAGTCCTCCTGTTACTGCCCTTCGGTTCACTGGCGCTGCCATCACACCCTTTCTCTTCTCTTCCATACTGCATAGAGCTCAGTTTGTGTAAATAGCAGTGCCCACACCAGTGCATGTTTATATGCTGTTTTGTTAGTATTAGTTTATTCTACATTATCTTTTCACGATCGGTTGCTTTCTTCACACTTCTGTTTGACTTTTTTCTTTTGTTATGTTATTTTCCAGTAGCACCTACAGATCAGTACTCTAATGTCATATATTTACATAAGAAGTTTGTTCCTACCCTGCAAAGTTTATAATCTAACAGCAACCATATTTTCATGGAATATTTTTTTGGGGAGCATGTTGCTTCACAGATGATAAGATTTTGTTTTAATGGCAGGGGCCATCCATTTTATGTATGTTTATACAGTGACTAATAGAATAGGTGTGAGTCAGCTTTAAAGTTTCCTGTAAAAATAATGATGAACGGTGGTAGGTGTTTATTCACTTGAACATATAGAAGGGTTAGGAAATACTTGTGGATGTTCTATTTTTATTCAGATCATGGGCTCTAAATGCCTAGGGTACCTTGCTGAAGAGAGCATCAGTCTGGAGAGGACCGGGAAAAAAAATAAAAAAGAAACTGGCCCTGAGGTCCAAGTCAGTGGTTCTTGAGACAATAATGGGTGAAAAATATGCTAGAGATTCAAAATAAAATATAAGCCAGGATTTTACTGAGAATACAGGTTTGAAAAATAGGAGACAGAACTGTATTTGAAAGATAGGACAGAATTAAGCCAAAAAAAACCCCTGAAACCAAACCCAGAAAGGAACATCCAAGGAGCAAGATAGTAAAATGCCAAATCTTTTCCAAAAGACTAAGTATCTCTCTGTTCCTGTTAACTGACTCCTACTTCTATACTTACATCATGTGTTACAGAAAAATGCTGTATATCAGAATTGTCTTTTTCCATTTTGTCTGGTGCAGTTGTCTTTCACCTACTAAGGAAGCAAAAATTCAGTAGGTCTGTAATAACTGTATTTTCTGTATCTCAGAATGGGATGCTGCTATTGCCTTTCTGGCTGAAAGGTTCTATAGCCCAGAATATCTAAAAATATTTTGGAAATAAAATGTGTAATGTTCCATTAGAATGTAATGTCCCATTAGAATCAGTAGTAGTACATTACAAGACAAGGTTTATAGGGAAAAGAGCTGTCTTTCATGTAGGCAACTGCTTGTAGCTTAAAAAGAGCCCCAAAACATAAATAAGCTTTTGAGTACACCAGCTCTTTTTAACTAGCATCACTAATGATAGTGATTTTTCCTGAATAGTGATAATACTAATGACTTTGAAGAAAGAGAAAAGGGAAGGAAGACAGAAGAAATGCATCTACTTCATAGCTAGATTGGTCATATTTACATCTACAGTTCTTACCTCCAAAACTTGTTCATTGTAAGGTTAAATCACTGAGTCCTAAAAGGTTGTCAGTGCATTTAAGGAGTGATAAATTTGTAAGCAGAACACAAGTGGACTAAAATACTGTTGCACCAAGTGCTGATTTATATTTCAGTGAGCCTCAGTGACCTGCAGTATCAGTCTGTATTTGAGTGCACAGCATGTCTGCTCTGCTCAGCAAATATTAGCAGCTGAGCCACAAGCACTGCTGTAAATATCAGCACAATAAATTTAAACCAGCTACAGTGTTCAGGTGCACTTCTTTTATTTCAACCCCACCGTAACCATGCCACACTCTTACATAGTTCTGTGTTTGCTCTTCACTCTATGTAACACAACACCCTGAGAGAGCAGTAGAGTTTGTAAACCCATCTTGAAGGCCAAAGACATGAGGCTGAATTTGTGCAAAATTTCCTATCTGTTGTTTCCAGGAAAAAAAACGCGTAAATTATAAACAGTGTTACTAAATATCTGTGTATCTAAAGTTAATCTAAATAATCTCATAGTCTGAATAGCTGTAGTAGCAATGTGTAGGGGTTTTCCCTACTAACATGAAGAAACTAGTACTTTGGCTAATCTACTACTTTGGAAAAATAAAACATTAGGTGGAAAGATGCTGAGCATCAGTGTCTGGCAAAGAAAAGCGAAGTACACCAGCTTTGCTGTGAAATTTCAGGAATCTTCTTTCTAGCCTCGAGTGCCAGACTGATGCTGAAGAAAAGCTTAAACATCCTCCCTCCCTTGTGCATATTATTACATGCCTCTGGAACTTTTTTCTTCTGCTCTGTTATTCTCTTTCTTTGTAAGCCTTCACGAAAAGAAAGGGAATAGATTATAATAATATTGTAGCACCAATGCTATTGTGTTTGCAGTAGCCTTAGCCCAAGATAATGATTTGATTAGCATGGCTTTTTCACTTACCGGAATTAAAGATCCATGGATTTTCCTGAGATTCTGTGCTTTCAGGATGATTTTTTTTTCCACTTTCTGTCTTCAGCTGTATATCTTTGCAGAGAAGTTGGAGGTTTAAAATAGGTATAGAGCCTTCAGTAATAGCCAAGGGCAAAAAATTAGTGTAGTGAGTCATCACAGTCACTCCTGCAGATATTTGTAATCTATAAATCCTATGCAATGCATTTGTTCAAAAGGGCCATTGTTCCTTAAATCACTGATGATAGTTCTAATTTATTTTTTTTTTTCCCTGCAATGTAGTTGCTATAAATGAGATTTGACATTTCCAATTTTGTTATTTGAATGGCCTCAAGGAGGCTTTGGAAAATTTGACATGCAGAATATGAAATGCTTAACAAGAGTATTAAAGATAAACTGATAGTTCATAGTGCAGTGAAGAAGCAGAGTAATTTAGCAATCCAAAGAATGAATTACCTAAAAAAAATATAATTATTTCTTTAATTAAATTTTTGATAGAGGTATATTTTCTAAAATATTAAAACTTTTTCTCCCTTTCTTTTTATAGCTTCTTTTGTTTCTAGCTATATAACACCCAGAAGTTGTGTATGTTGGCAGTAGTAATAACAGATAAGCAGAGCTATTCCCTTTGCCAGAGGGTGTAAAATTTGATCCCACTGAGGTTAGTGAGAATTTTGCTCTCAGCCTCAGGCCTTGAATCAAAAAAAAAGCACCCTTTAGTAGAGCTGGTTTTGAGTTTTTTAACAGAAGCAATTATTGTGACTACTCAGGGACATCTGTATCACATATCTTACAGGTTATTTAGAGGGGGGGGAAAAGATGCTTTTCTGCGTCAATTCAGACATTACAAAAATTAAACAAAATCTTTTTGGTATAGAGCTTTGTTTATTTGTATATTGTTTATGCTTTGGTCCATTATGCAGCAAGTCTTGGCTTGGTTCATATATTTGATGTTTGTCTCATAAAATTTTTAATCATCTTAGTAGAAGGAAAAGATAAAATTATTTTTAGTTTATAAGGTAGAAGTAGTTTGAGTTGTCTCTGTTGCTAGAGTTTGATTGTGGTCTGTTAAACTTTTATTGCTCCTAATTTTCTGTTTCTAAATGTATATTCTTTACTGTGAAAATAATTATTATTACACACTCCCCCCAAAAAGCACTACCTAGAGGGAATGAGCAATATTCATCTTAATTTCATTCTGTGTGCTTCCAATCTATATTAATTTTCTAGTTGATGGACTTTTGAAAGGGTTGCTTTTTTGTTTTGGATATTTGAATTGTTTCTTTGCTTTGATAATTGTAAAGAGACAAATTGTTTGATCTTGAATTTCAGTTTTGCAGACGATATTCATCTGATGGTTTATCACATCAGCGTGTCTTCTCTCTAACACAGACAATAGTACGTACAGCTTTGGCTTGAGGAAGGCTATTTTTTTTTGTCTCTGCAGAAATACTGCAGCACAGTCCAGCTTGATTCTGGAATAGACTACAGGAAACGAGTGCTTCCTGCTGCTGGAAAACTTTACTACCTGTAAGTTTATCTATGATATGGTATTTGCCCTCTTTTTCCTTTTTATTAGCCAATAATTTCCTAGTCAGTGGGAAATGAAAAATGTATAGTAGAATTAGCAGGGTGTGACTTTTCCTTTCTTTGCCTTCTGGTCCATTTTGTTCAGCAAACCGCCTTCCATTATGCCTTGATATTAACTTCATTAAACTACATTTTCAGTATCCACACTAGCATCATTTATAATGTGTGACTGAATAAAAACTAATTAGATTTTTTTGGGGAGGTGTGGTGTTTGGAGAACTGAAGTGACAGATGGTTAGAAAGTAATGAATATCCTCTTGTAAGAGATTGCACAATTCTCTTATAATAGAAGAACATCCTTATTGTATTTAAGTAATTAAGTATTTATAGAAATCCAATGACAAGGATTCATTTAGTGTTGGGTGTTTCCAGTGCTGTGGATTAAAAAAAAAATCAACACTCTCCTATTTTGACAGATTGTTTCTGTTTATCATGACAAAATTTCTTTAGCACTTTATTCTCTATTTGCAAATAAATATATTTTAAAATACATTCACAGTTGTGCTTATGGTTGCAGCATATATCTGCCTAACAGAAACAACCTCTCTTTTAAAAAAAAATTGAAACCTTTGCATTGCATTTTTCCTATCTTGTATTTGCTCTTAAGAGTATTATTTAATTGATGAAAACCCGAGTGAGACAGACAGTAGCTTAAAATGAGATTTATAACCATTGTATCTTTCAACACAAAGTACAATATTGATTTAAAAATCATGTTTCCATTAAGAAAGGTGCAGTAATTTCACTGACGTGAGAGGTATTTGAAACAAAGTATGTCCATATCACTTTATTATAAAGTTAGAAACCGTAGTTGTTTGTCTGGAAGGAGGAATACTGCTTAGTAGAAATACAATAGGTAACTCTTTCTGCTTCTGGAAGGAAAAGACAGAATTTTACATGTGGAAAACAGGTCTAATGCAGGTTCTGTATCTTCAAAGTGTGACTGTGTGAACTTGGGAAAAGTAACTCTCTGTACTCTTGTCTGGCTCCACTTTTGTTAAGTTTTACGCTGTCTGCTCTGAAGAACTGTTGGAAGCTGCTGCTGTTATCTCAGCATTGCTCATCATGGCTGTTGTTGTGATGTCTACGTAGCCGTCCCTGCTTATATGGCTCTGCTTATTATGCCCATTGCACTTTGTGATGTTCTGTTTGATAGTGGAGAGCACCTGCCATATTCTTTCTTCGCTGTCAGTGCTCTAAAGAAAGGAAGAGCACGTATGTGGTTTCTGGCAGGTAATAGGCTAAATGCGGTGCCTGTGACATCAGAGGAGAAGAAATACAAATAACTCATAGGAGTAGTACCCAGCTGAAGTATTTCTTGGTGTTCTGCTGAAAACAAGTGAATGGCAGAGATTGGTGATAAGCCTGTCTCATGTTCTCCCATTGGAACGATGTTGGTTACCTCTAGAACTTGTGTAAATCATTAGGAAGCAGTGGGGGGGAAAAAAAAAATTAAAAAAATCCTGTAGCTGCCAGTGGAAATAAGATACTTATTTCATTGCCCTTTCTTTTTCTGAGATAACCTCATTAGTTATTCTATTCAAACTTGTTCATTGGGGCTTTCAACTTTGCAGAACTAGCTTAGTATATGGGAATTTGTTTGTTTATTTTTAGATTAGGTACTATACAGTATCTTGCTACAGATTTTTTTTAAATGTAGTTAACCGTCTTGCCCCCCCCCCCCCCAAAAATGTTCTTGTCCAACATGTTTACATTCCCCTAGTAATGGTTATAATATCATCACCACTTTTTAAAATTCTATTGATGCTTCATAATTTGTGTAGTCTTTTCTTCATTTAAAATATGCAACTGAGAGTTGCTTAAAGCTGTCTGATACTCACCTGAAAGCAGTCAGTGTACCACAATTACAAGATTCCTGTTCAAAGCAACTTTCTTGACCTCAGTCTCAGGTGTCTATTTTCAAAACAAACTTTCTTGGCAATTAGGTGCAAATATCCACCTAGGCATCATATTTGGCTGTTTCTTCTTGTGGCTTTTACATCAAAATTTTTGATAGTTATGTGCATATATGTGTGCATACTCTCATATATATGTACTCTTTCCTCCCTTTTGTGGCTTTTTTTTTCTGGTTTTCTCTGTTCCTTTTCATTTATCATTTTGTCAGAGCAGAGCTGCACACACATATTAGTGTTGAGAGAAACTTATTTTTCTGAAGTTACAGTTTTATGTAATCTATTCAGAAAAGGTTTTTTAAAGTGTTTGAAATGGCAGTTGCAGAAGTTTATGGGTTTTTTTTCCAAATTCTTTGTATCTACAAGGTTTTCTATTGTTAAGATTGGGCTAAAAAGGAGTTATTTCAGTTCTGCTATTAACATTTTTAGGGTGCTTAAAGCCTAATGAACAGGCAGGTAATTGTGTAATACGCTGATCATCATTTATCATTTAGAGGAGGTCTAGAACTGTGTGAAGCAATGCAACTTGTATTCACCCAGTATCTATAAAAGTAGACTTTTCACACCAAATGAGATTATACAAACTTCAGTGAAGTGTTATATATCTTCATTCTAGTTTGTTGTCTACCATGGCATTAATTTATTATTCTCAGCTTTCAAACTCAGCTAGAAGTATTATCTGTCTAATCTATCCATCTATCTATCCATCTTTAAGAATGAAACATAGTAAAGTTGGTCCTCTAACCCATTCAGTGACAAAAAATGTTCTCTGATCAGACATTTATAATTCTTACAGCAGCTGGAAGATGATGATAAACTTTACATCATTCTCAGCACAGATATTTTGCATTTTCACTGTCTGTGATTGATCTTTTCGCAAACAGTATAGGGGCAGAGGGGGGAAAACGGATAAAATTATTAATGCAGAGATCATGCTGGTATTTTGAATTTCACAGTTTAATTTTGCAAACTGTTTGATCAATAACAATCAGTTGACTTGATTTTTCTTCCTCCCCCCCAAAAGCTGCTCCAGTATTTAATTTCACTAAGTTCCCTCTCAGACATTTCAAAGGATACTTCTTTAGGTGCTTGACTGCCTTGCCTTGTTTATTGGCTCTTATTTTGCATGCAAGATAGAGCCAGAAGCCTTTTTTCTCATTGTGTACACATAGTGTTAATGGATCTGCTCTGCCTGTATTGCCTCATTACTGGAAACAGCTCAAAACACAGAAGTCTTTCAGTGTATGCAAATAAGGCCGAATCATCTACCTGAGAGTTAATATTCTCTACTTTTAAGTGTATTCTAAATCTAATGTTTGTATTTAGAGCATAACATCCTGTTCTCTTTTTTATGGGCAAAAAGCTAAGCGGGCTCAGGCAGCTGTTTGATGTTGGCTTCAAGTGTTATTAATTTCATATTCTATTATTCTTTTCACTGTAGCACAAGTGAAGCTGATGTGGAGGCTGTCATGGATAAGTTGTTTGATGAGCTGGCTCAGAAACAAAATGATTGTACGTAAGTTAATTTCTCTTGAAAGAGAATACATTTAGAACACAATGCCCAATCTCCACTGACCAATTAATAAGTTCCATTGCTGTATATGGGTTGATGCCACACTCAAGTGGCAGTCATTGTATCAGCATTTTGTCTAATTTATGTGTTGAATCATGTGCTATTATTCATCAAGCTATGCATTTCCTATCTGTAAGAGATGAATTTTATAGTAATTATCCAGAGAAGATTGAGTCTTTGTTCATGTTCCCATAGTAACTAGACCAAGGATTCTAAAAGTGCAAGGCAGAGAGCTGAGGCTGAATAAAGCGTGTGGAACCATTGCAGACTTCACGTTTGAAGAGCTGTGTGACAGAGTGAGTATCCAGTCAAATCTAGATCAGTTAATGCTCAGACTTTTCACAGTTTAAAAAAAAAATCTGAAACAAAAAACTTGCTATTTTCCCTAGTTGTACTAAATTAAAGGGCTTTTTTTAAGTTGGCAGAAGGATTTTGAATTTAACAGTGGGGGGAAAAACCCCTCCCTAAAACAATAACAATTTTATTTTTAATGATACAGTAAATTCAGTTTAAGTATATTGCAGAATGTCTTAAAAATTCCTAATGCAGTATGTGCCTGGGCTGACATCACTGTTGGAATATTAGTAGTCATACATATCAATATGTAAATAGCATTCAAATACTGATTTTAAAATCTGGGGTTTAAGTTGATGCTCAAGCAAAGGAGTCGTAATCCTGGCACCACTAAAGTAAAACTATTGTTGCATGCCTTAGTTGTTGACTGGCTGTATAAGGGCTGTTTAGTCCCAGGCCTTCTAAAAATTTGCCAGATTTTGCTAAATAGCACCTAATTCTCTGCTAAACATGTGGAGTGTGATTCCTGAAAAGCTCTTCCTGTATATGGCCTCTAGTGAGTTGGAAGACAGTCCCCCAGTATTTTGATTGTACTTCAGCAACTTCATTGCTGGCACATGAAGTTACTGTTAAATGATCACAACTCTAAACTAGACATTTGATTCGGGATACTGACCAGTCTTTTGGTTACACCACTACATTTTCACTTCCTTGTAGTTATGTTGATAACTATTTGGACGGAAATTTCACTGGTTATTTTTCAGACTGTAGGTTTTAGGCTTTGTTGGTTTCTAGTTTCAGACAAAACCAGCTAGCCATTTGTGAGAATGGAGGTACGTCATGGGTAGAACAGTCTGCTTTTCACTAAAAGTTTTGAGACTTTTTCTTCGTTGTGCCTCTTAATGTCTCAAGAAACTATCCTGTCAGCAAATACTTGCAAAATTCTTTAGTCCCGTAAATGCCGTATGTGCTTGAATGGGATGGTAAATTGCTTCTAAGGAGAAGTGCTCTGGTAGCTCACATGGCAGTGGCCACTACTTTGGGTCTGAAGGTTCTGATCCTGTTGAATTATGTGGGGTTCAGACCACTTTGGCGTAAGTGAGCTGAGGTGCTTGATTTGCACTCAGAACAAGTAAAGAGAATCATTATGAAATGTTAAACATCATTTAACAGTATTGTTCTTGTGTTGGTCACCCAGGACTTGGGAAGTCATGCTATCTCAAGTCAGATACCTTCTGCAGGTATGTTGTGATAAGTCTCTAATAGAATAATCCCATGCTTAAAACTAAAACAACAGTGGCAGATAATAAATGTTTTTCTTTAACAACTTCCTGGGTTGTTGCTTATTTTCTTTGCATATGCCTCTATTTGTTTCTACCTTTGATTGTTTTTTTTTATATATATATATATATATACACACACATAATTTTTTACCATGATTTTTCTCTTTGGATCACTGATGTACCCTCAAAAATATTACATTAGTGTACTGGTAAGGTGATATCACTGTGCTCACCTCATAGGTAGAGAAGTATAGCCATGAACTTCAGAATTGTCTGTTACATTTGGATAAATGGCTTGAGTTGCCTTTAATACGATTTTTTTTTTTTCATGAATGTAAACTTTCATAGGACTTCGTAGCAATACTAAAAAAACTCCCATTGGTATAAGACATATAAGACATTACCTGTTGCTCCATTTGCCTGCCCTGTTGCCATTAAAATATGCTAAAAGGCAAAAGAAAAATTCAGTTGTCAAACCATGAAACCATGTTCCTTTTTTTTTCATTAAATATTTTAACTTTTTGATGGAAAAATTTATACATGCAGTGTTTTATTTTTAACAGTTATAATGACAATTATTTCCCACTGAATACACAGGAGAAGTATGTAGGATCCAGAAGAGCACAGTGGTGATTTGTAGCCAAAATCAATACCCAAGTCAGGAGACATTCAACTTGACAGGAAGTATCCAGTCATTCATATGCATTCAAGTAAGCTGGCTAATAGTGGGAACTGTTTGTTCCTATGAAGCAGGAATCTGTAGTAGATATAGCTACAAGGTATTTAGTACTGCTTGTGGTGCAAAATGGTAGATAAGTTGACAGGCTTCATAAATGCAACTATTAAGAAAAAGGAAACTAGGAGCCTGAGAAAGAGGTAATGAAAAAGAAGATCCACAAAAGAAAGTAGTGGAGGGCACTTTGTTGGATTTGGCTACAGTGAATCTGCAGGTTTCTTTGTGCAGGACATGGGGACAAAGTCCCATGGGAAGTCAGATTTTGTGAAGGGACACAGGGTGGGGATTCTTCCTAGCTGGAGCCTGTGGCAGCCAAGAAGGAGCTTTACATGACAGCCCAAGCAAAGTGTCCTAGGTAGGTAAATGCAATTTAAAGTTGGTGTCATAGGAGCCAATTAAACTTAGAACAGAATTGAAAACAAGATTTACAGTTGGTTTTATATCAGTGATAAGACCTGGTGACAAGCATGATAAATGGGAAGTTCTCATTAATGGGTAAAAATGAAAGGTAACTGATATTATTGAAAGCTCTTGGGACAATTCATAAAAGAAGAATGTGGAATCACTGCTTACAGCCTACTGAAGGACAGAGTGGCTAAAAGAGGTAGAGGACAGTATGCAACATTAAAGACATTGGTACCTGCCTTAAAGTTAATTAATACAAGGATCTTGAATATGTATCAGTCAGCCTACTGATTAACAAACCCAAGAGGGTAGTACTCATAGGGGTCTGTTGCAAAGGGAGAATGAGGTGCATTGCTTCTTGAGCACTCAGCTATAAAAAGCATATAAAGAGAAAATGCCATTGTATGGGAAGCTTATGCTGTAGATGAAATGCAGAAAATGGTGAAATGTAATTAGCTCTAAAATTACAAATGATAATTTTCTAGCATAAAATGTACTACATCCAGTACAAGGTCATTTAGTTTGAGCAGCTTTATGGGAGCTTACAGTGATGAATTCATCTAGAAATTAGTGTTGCATAGGGACAATCTTTTCCATAATTTTCTAACATTCAGTATAACCAAAAGGTACTTCCAAACAGTGAAATTACATATTCGAGTGTTCAGGAGGAGTAATTTTCAAAAGCAAAATGGAAGTATGACCAAAACTAACTGGAAGGGGAAGCATAAACAAGAACAAGAAGGACTTTTTGAGGAAGAAGATAGTAAAAGTATGTCCTGTGTCACTGTTGAGACAGAATCAGATAATATAGAATAAATGGCAAATAGTTACAAAGTGCAGAAAAATTAAAGAGAAAATAAAGGTCATCGGCAGATACCATGTCTGTTCAGCTGTAACACTTCTTAAGTAAAAAGGGAGTTTTGATATAGTTTATATTATCTGAATATTACTGGCTTATTCTTAGTTGGAGATGGATGAACTTTTAATAATGATGGATAATAAAATAGGAAACTATAATAAAATAACTTTCAGTCTCTTAATAGTTAGCATATGTTAAAAATAACCTGCCAATACATTTTGAATTACTGGAGCCCTGGAAAACTAGGCTGAGATCTCTTGACTATTTTTTAAATTTTGATAAATGTTGGTGTGCTAGAGAAATTCCACAGTGCTAGAGGAATGTTACTATGTGCCAATATTAAAAAATACATAAGCAAAATCCTCAAAAGTGTGATGACTGGTATAACTGCAGGCTGTCAGTCAGTTTTTGTTCCAGAAAGAGCAGTGGAGAAGCTGGTTCTGGATTCACACAGTGGATAACTAAAGAATGGAAATGAAATTAATTCCAGTCTCCCAGATTTTGTGGAAAAGGTTGAGTTTTGTAGATGCGTTCTTAATAAGAAATTGGCATTATACAGCGTCAAGAAGGTATTTGTTAAATGGATTGCTAAGTTAGTTAACTAGCATATAAGAAGAATTACTACTGAAGGATTATTGTGAGTGTAGCATTTCTAATGAGCACATATTTATACTAAGCCCAGTACAATAGGTTTTTCCCCAGCAGTTTGGAATATAACATAAATGCTAATACAAATTTGCTGTAAATACAGAGAGTGCTGTGTGTATGGAGGGAGGAGCAATGAAAATGAGGCTGCTACGTGCAATTTATTTCTCAGCAGAACTGAGATTTTGGGGAGGAGAGAGAGGGTCTGTTTTATTTTGGCTTCTTTAAATCTAAGCAAACACAACATTTTACATGTAAAAATTGGGAACAGAAGTCATATCCACAGGAGGAGGAGAATGTGTCCTAGGCGTACGGACTTGGAAATAGATTAAAGAGTTGTAATGAACAAGCAGTTCAAAAGGAGCTTTTGGTCCAGTGTTAGAGCATTTAGACCTAATTTTACCTCAGATGGGTAGAGAGGAAATGAATAGGAGGGTGGAAAAGATTATTTTAATATTGAAAACATCTCAGATTGATGGCAAAATGTTAGGTGTGGTTTTGGCATCAAAATTTTAGGAAAGACATTGAAAAACCTGAAGAGGCTGTGGAAAAAGCCACAGATCATTTGAGCTGGAGAATTTCTGCCCTCAGATGACAGACTTACAGTTCAATTTGTTCAGCTTATCAAAAAGAGGACTGGAAGATGATTTTATAATGTACAGCTGCTTTCACAGGAAAAAAAATACAGGTATTAATGGGTTCCTAAATCTAGCAGAAGGTGGCATAATGAAAAGCAAAAAAAAAAAAAAAAAAAAAAAGTCCGCAGTGGTGCCAAGTCACACATTTGAAACAGTGAAGGAAGTGGCAGATCCTCCTGGTACTGCCTTTTGGGTCAAAACTGGGTGTCATTTTAGGAAGAGGTGTTTGTGTTTGAAATAAGTGCTAGTTCTTAGGTTTAGCTAAAATTCTAAAATTAGTCTAAAATTCAGGAAATTGGAGGATCTCATGATCTCTTCTTTAAATTGTCTAAAACTAGGGATGTGAGAGAGACAGGGTCTCTGCTGCCTGTTGGCAACTGTCTTACTGCACCTGCATATGCAGTAAAAGAGTTCAACAGCTGCCAGGAAAATGGGC